GGGGGGGGGGGGGGGGGGGGCTGAGGGGTGGCCGTTAGTGACCGTTAATGACCGTTAGCGGCGGGCGGCAGATCTGAAACACCGCGGCAAAATGATGTTTCTAACCCCTCCCGTTTTCACATGTCTTTTCAAAGCAGGTCACCATGGCTCCAGTAAAACAGGGTGTCGTAGTGCTTTAGGGAAACATGTATTAAATGTTTCATCACTGAAATAATGCCAGAGTCCTTTTAAAACACTTTATTCAGACAAAACGGTGGAGAGCGCAGACACAGTTAACTGAAAAAGATAAACAAAGCTGCACGGGAATTCAGGTCACTGTTTCAGTCTGCTTGTGTAAGCCCTTGCTCCCTACTGAGCCCAAGATATCTGTAAGTTCACAGTCCCTCACCATCCCTTCTTGTACAAAAGAAAAAAGGAAAAAAAGTCCCCATTTTTGAAATTCCCAAGTCCTTCAGTGAAAAAATAATCTAAAATAACATTACTGTACAGACGGAGAATCAGGCATTGCAATCTGCAAGAGACAAATAGCTGATATGAATATTGCAGTTCCTCAACAAGGTGCACATTTATATCTAAATACTGAAAGTTATTACTCTCATTTTGAATCCTAATAGCTATCAGGGATGAGAAACTGATTTCCAGGAGGAAAGGCTCTAGCACTGATTCACAATTCGACTGTGTAAATTGGTAAATGCTCATTTGTGCTAAGTGTATTTGACTGTATTTTCTTTTTAAAAAATACAGTGTCCAGTTAGTAAACATTCTGAGGCTATCACTCTAGTTTCTGGATTTATGCTTGTGGAGGCTGTGCTTGCAGAGGCCTGGCCTTTGCACAGCCATTAGCCCTTCCCTGGACCGGCTCCACCTCCTTATGAACAGGATTCAAATGTCATCCACCTCTGGAACGCCCAGGAAGCACAACCCCAAAGGCTCCCTCATGGAATGCAGTCCATACGGATGGCTCAGGGGCTGAGTCAGCCCAGACTGGACAGCACAAGGATCTCCCTGTGCAAACAGAGTTGCTGCTTTGAAATACATTGTCAAAAACATCAGGGTGGGGGGAGATCTAATTTAACATTAAAAACAAGAAAAGGTAGGAGTATAATTGATGATTACTTTGAGTTTTATTTGTGCTGTATGTATATTCTAATAAACACTTTGAGACTTCAAAGATATTTTCTCTCAATTCCTTCAAATGATCTATGGGACCAAGGACTAAGAAGATTTAAATGTCTGTGTATTTCCCCCCCACCCCCCCCGCCCTCAGCAAAGATGACTCCTGAGAGTCTTTTGTGTTTTTATGGCTGTATTTCAAACTCGAAACTGGAAGGGAAGTTAATAAATGGCATAAATATTTAGTGCAAAATTGTTCTATTAAATCCTCTTCTACTCAACTACAGTACCATATTCAGGAGGGAAGTTCTAAGGTGTTTGTCTTCTAGCATTTACAGGATTATGCTTTTACATAACTACTGAAAAAAAGTTTAGATCTGTTTCTTACCTTATTTACTGAATCTTTGTTATTACTGTTGTTCCATTGTGAACGGGGATAATAGGTGCAGGAAAATCCAGTTCAGGGGCATCAAAAAAGTATGCCTGAATAATTACAAAAGAGAACAAGACAGATTACAAAGAAACAAATATTTCTGCTTCATCAGCTCTCAGCTCTTCCTTTTCCACCCACTGTTCATGGGGGGGGAGAACATCCTTTGCTTCAAGTATTTTTAGAAGATTAGAAATGGGCAATTAAAATGGTGCTTTAAGCTGTATTTTTTCAAATGACAATTAGCAGCAAAGACCTTTGAAAAGACCTGCTCTGCATCTGCTTGCTGCTTAGCTGCTGAAGCTGCAGGCAGTAACAGGAGCTGCTCCCAAGTCGGTGGCAAGGCTCCTGCTGACACCAGAGCTTCGTTCTCCCTGCGCTTCCCTACA